CTGTAACTTTGGTTAAGCTAGAGTTACAGAATTTGCATGTCCAGATTATTTGAATTGGCATCACTACTTGAGGATTAAACTTTATAAAGATCTTTTTTACTGTACATCATTAACCCATAAGATTAGAGATCAACACTACCTGGACCTGGTTTGAACTTTTCTTTCCAGTGTCATGAAAACATGATGTACAGTGTAAAGTAGGATTAATCATGTCATCACTAAAATAAATACTAAAATAGCTTAAATATTCAAATAAAATAAAACATCCTAAATCTTGAAAATGTTACACATATCTAAAGTTTCCCTTTAGTGTGATTTATTCCAGTACTAAAGAATTAACTAGGATTTAAAATCAGATTCCAAGAAAGGGAAAAGAAAAATAAATTATGGAAGAGAACTGAATTAAATTATTGCACTGGTGGTCATGATTAAATATTTTTTGCATATCTAGAAGGAAAGAGTTAGAGATCTGATAAAGTTGATTGCATCTTTGATAATAAATATTTTCACTTTACTTTTAAGATGGAACAGAGAAAAAAATATATATATTTGACCCATTAAATAGAAAAGGTTATAATACATCCTACTTAAAAGAACAACTGCATAACAGATAAAGATTCTGTCATAAACACAAGGAAATAAATTCTTGGCAGACAGGGCATTTATATTTATGACCATCACCTCAAAGTCATAACCATGTCATATTAAGAATGATTCAAGCATGCATAAAGAGAAGTTTGTATGTTGCTCCATACTGTCCCATGGGGAAAGGGAATAATTCATGAGGCTAACCTGAGAACTTTCTGAAGAAAGGAGGAAAATAGGATGGGAAGTTGGAAGTAAAAGAAGAGGGTAGATGTCAAAGAGTCTTTTCTAGAGAATAAGTTTAGCATTTTGGACAATCTCAAAATTGCTGAGCAGAACTCTCTGTTATGGAGCATGTTCTTTGAGAGGACATTAGCTTTAAAGGCACCTCTATTACGGTAGTTTGAGGTTGTGCTTTTTGTTGGGAAGGGAAATATATCAATAAAATAATGCAGACTGTTGGATGATACAAAAAAAAAGTGGAAGTTGTACTCTGACAAATTAGAAGTTTTGAGAGAAAGATAATCCACACATAATTTCAAAACCCCAAAAATTGAACTATTACATGCTTCTCATGAAAAGCAGCCTAAATACAGATAATGAGCTTCTATCAAGTTACTAATTTAGTATGTTAGCAGACATTAAACTTTACATGCAGACAAGTCATCTAAGTAGACCTTATATAAATGTAAGAGCTAAGGGCTGACATCTTGTAAGAAACGCACAATTGGTGACAGGTATAGGTGAGAAGCTGACAGCAAAATTGAAGGAAAAGTTCAGAAAAAGACTAAAGTAAAATGAGTTGCAAAAACTGTTTAAAAAGTGAATGAACTAAGACAAAAAATAATGTGTATTGTCTTTGGGGAAAAAAAAAATAAATCTGCTGTATCAAAATTTTCCAGAAGCAATAGGTTAGATAAATATATTCAAAGAGGTAAGTGTAAAACAGGTAACACATTCAAGATGCAGGATAACAGCAGGAAAAAAAGCCTTTCTAGATGTGTACTAAGATACCAACAAAACGTCCTGTGATATCAATTATGCAATGAGTCACAGAACAAATATATTACAATTTAAGTTAAAATTTGCAGAGGCATACACTTTTTCATAGCTTCATTTAGATGGATGCTGATTATCCCTGACTTCCAACAGTTTCAATGCGAGAAAGATCAGTACCAAGAAGCATTACTTCCACAAATAGTAACCGTAAGTACAGTAAAAAGAGTTGAGAGTACTTAGGACTTCTAAAATTACCAACTGGATATTATCAGTACCATTATATAACTGACTACACACTTGACAGCATTGTCTAAGTTATTTAATAATTTTTAAAGTGCACTTCACGAATACAATTTTTATTCTCCTCCCTTTAAAGTCCAACGGTATACCTAAATATTTATTTTAAATGTCTTAAGAGTATATTACACTATTAATTACTTAAAACTAGCTCTTAGGGACTCCATAGTTGACAGTCTTAGGCATACATCCTTCTTACTTTCAATAGAGGGGTGGAGTATTTTTCAACAAAACAAATTCAACAGGCAGAATTTTATTTAGACTTTGGCTCTTCTGCTTCTTCTTGCTGCATTTTTCTATTTCACAAAACACTACAACATTATATTGTTCTGATTCAGTCTGTTCCTGAAGCCAATAGCTTAACTCCTACTGAGAGCACAGTGCTAAATACTTAATTTCTAAGTGTGAGGGCTTGCTAAGATTTACAAAATGACATTGTTACTACTGTTTAGTCTGATTGTATGTGCTGACTTCCAGTTATGGGGATCTCTAAGACATTCTGTTGGAAAAAAATATTTATCTTCCCAGGTCAGTGTTTCTCATGTTTTTTTTCTGAAAGCATACTGCTATTTACACAACATTATTAGTTCAGAGATACGCAGATATGGTTCTTGAACCACTGGGTAAATTAATAAATCCCAGAGTTAAGAAAACATGATTGTAGTTTATAACACAGCCTAAAGTAAAGCCTAGAATACATTACCTCTGGGGACATCTTAAATTATACAAGGACTTAGGGCTTTTGCATGTTTAAAATTGCCAGAATAAGTACAACACCCTCTCTAGTGGTTCAATTGCAACATAAACTGGAGCATGCTATGTTTGCCTCTGCATTTGTTTCCTTGAAGTTACTATTTATTTAAGTACTATATTCATTTTCCATAGTGAAATATAAAAAAAGCACTCTTTTTTGTCCAATTACTTTTCTTTTCCCCAAGGTTTTCTTTTTATTACATTTCCTGAATGGATACTATATTATGGCTGCACAAACAATCTTTAAGTAAATGTGAAACTGTAAGAACCACAAAATATCTGATGAACAAGGTTCAGAAAGATATGGAATGACTAAAGAAATATGGAAGAAAAAAAAATAATTAAATGAACCAATGGAAGATCTAGAAATATATACAGGAGGATAAAATCAGTGCAAACAGTGAAGCACATAAAATAAATTCTGAAGAAAAGAGTCTCTGGGACCAATTTCACTTAATGCTTTTATGCCCATTCCTTTTGTTGTTTCCAAGTTCCATTAACTCTTTATTCCACTCTTTGTTTGTTTATCTACAAAGAGATATTTGATTTGCACCACCTACGTATATTTGAGTGCAGTTAATTGTAGTGCCTCGCCCCATGGATATTGGATCTCTCATCCTCTTTCTATTTTTTAATCATAACTAAAAGTTAATATTAAAGGACTAAACTATAACATAATTTTTGCTTAAAAAGACTTCTAGGCATTACAGTTTATGTTTTTCTTAAGGAAACAAACAAATACATTAATCTTCAGAATTATGTGCTCCTGTTCACTGGAAGCTTTTACAGTTCTTATTGTACCTGTACACAAAATGCACACACAGACATTAGCCCAGCACCCAGGTAACACTTTTCAGACCTTTCTTTTTATGATTGTGGGTTGTCAATCTGGTACACTATCACACATTCCTCCTCTCCTATTAAATACAAACAAATCTGGCCAATTCTAGCAATTTCAACTTTGCTTTGAACATCTGACCATCACTGACTTTAAATTTGGTGTATCCTGAGTCTTCAAAAATTCCATACTCTCTTCCAGCTGTGATAACTACCTCTGAAGTGCGCCAGGTTGGACCTGGCTAATAGCCAAACTACCACCCAGCTGCTGGCTTTCTCACTCCCTCTCCACCCCCTATAGCAGGGCAGGAGGAGAAAATTAGAGGAACATCAATGAGAAAATTAATGGGTTGACATAAGGACATGGAGATTGCTTTCTAATTTTTATGTTTATTAGTATTATATGTATTTACAGAAAGCTAACAAATATTGCAGAATGGAATTTATGAACGTGGGCAGGACACTTCTGAACATCAGTCATATGATTAACACCCAACTAAAAAAAGCAGCAACTATTTAACTTGGAAGTTTTTAGAAGATGCTGGTTTTATCCCAAACATCTCTAGTGACTTAAAGCTACCATTCAAGCATGATGAGTTTGTAATCTGTCTCTTATTTTAGAAAGCACAACAGTAAGGAAGCTCAGTTTACAAACAGAACTAATGTAAAAGCAGCAAACAAAACAAAACAAGTAATGCACAACTTAAAAATACAAGAATTGGTAAGAAAATGCAATAAAATCAAACAAACCAGATATTTAACTGTGGTGGTATTCCACACACATAACAGTCCCAGTGATCTTGGACTCATAAGCACCAATTCCTGATATAATGGTTTGTCCACATTTATAACTTTGCTATTATAAAATGGCCAAAGCAAAGTCAAGCATACCCACAAGGAAACAAAATACATCTGAAAGGTTATTTTTAGAGTTTTGCCAGACATGCAATTATTTTTCTCATTTTGTATCTTGCTTCATATTTTGAGGTCACGGTAAAGTTAGGCGGCAAATATTTGCCTCCCTAAAAGAAGATTTCTATGTTATACTGATATTCACTGATGATTCTTTAAGAAGTACCATAAACACTGCTGAATATTTGGAGAAATTATCAAAACAACCAATTTAAATACTTCTTTTGGAAAAAACACATTATTATTTCATTAAGGATCATTATTATCTGTTTGTATTAAGTCATTAGGCATTTCTTAGATTTCCTTTTTCTTTCAGATGTTTAAAGACTATATAATCCTGAGTGTATAATGCTGGCTATTTTGGGCTGCATTTTTTTCTTCATGTGCTTTTATCACTATATTTATCTTTAAATGATTGGTCCATGAAACATGTTTTCTCTATATTTAACAATTAGATTTGTATACAAAACAAAATAAACACAGACTGAGTGTGGCAGATATAACTATTTCTATTTCTCTTCTTTGAAACATCAGGAGCACAGACTTTGTTACATATTACTTTTCTATTCTTCATGAAAAGTTTTGATAATAGACGGTTAAATAGAGCTCTTACTTACATTGATATCTTCTAAATCTAAGCTGTTCAGGATGACATTGTTCCTCTTCCAGATGATGGGAGGCCTCAGAGTTCCCTGGATTGCACAACTTAAGACAGCACTTTGTCCCACTGTTGCTGCAGTGGTGCTTAGTTTTTGATCTTCAGGCAGACTCAGCTGAACTACCTCTGCAAAAGGTATGTGGTTGTAAGATTAATTAGCATGCAGTTTCACAAGGTTAATTAGCATGCAGGTTTTGTACATTACTAATTTAAGGATTTTAATTGACATCAAAGTAATAAGAACTTCCAAAAACCACAGGAAGTTCAGAGTATTTAAAACAAAGGTCAGCATGACATTTCATTAAATTGACTGACAAGTATCACCTTGTAAGAAGAGCAGCATTTAACATGAAAACGAATTTCAGAGCTAAGACTGTAACAAATATGATAGTGTATCCAAAGTCAGGCACTGGGAATTACTTGACAGTTAAGGCAAATGAAGCAGAGTAGTCAGCACCTTCATGTGAACTATGATGGCAGTACTGCTGTAAGAGTCATTCATATGAGCTCATTTTCAGAAAAGGAAAATACAAATGGAGCCCAGAGCACAAAACATACATGACCAAGACTAAAATGGACAACAAAGTGAATTCTACATTCGGAATATAAAATTAAGGTATAAGATTTATTTTCTGGTAAGCCAGTTTTTATGGGGCTTTTTCCTTGATATCAGTGAAGACATCATTTCCAGATCAAACTGACATTAGCAATTTTTCCCATTTCAGTCTCAGAAGAATTAATTATTGTCCAAACACATTAGTTAGTGTCCTTTTTTTTCTTTTTTTTTTTTAAATAAAAAGTTAAAATAGTTTCTACTATACTTCTCTTGTCAAATATGATTCCATCTACAACAGTTGCAGGAATTCAGAATCAGAATAATAAACAGATCAAAAAAATCTCTCTAATTACAGAGGGCGAGAGGGTGGGGAAGGACAGAGAAAAAATTGAAACCTAAAAAAATCCGCAGCACTTTACAGCATCAATTCTGAAGCTTCCCTGTCTGCCAAGGAACAGAAGCAACAATCAGAACGGGCTATAGCACCTGGAAGAAGTAGAGTACAATACTATATAACAGTTAAAGACAAACCTGAAGTAACTGCAGTGCGTCCCATGAAATGCTGTGAATTATCTCAGTTCAGAAATATTTGCTGCCTATTTTTGCATTTGTTGAGCAACACAGTAGAAACTGCTGGTGTGGATTCACAAGGCTATATCACAAGGTCGCTTTTGATTTACTTAGTACTACCTAAAATACCCCAAAGTAAAATATCTGTAAAACAGTATGAATGAAGTTTAATACTGTGCTATTTACTGTAGTTTTAAAAGTTTACTGCATAATCAAAGGCATTGCAGATCCTATTTTATAGGAGATTGCTCTTCAGTGATACTATCATGTAGACTTCCTGAGACATACCTGCAGGGCTACTGAATGACTCAAAACTTCTGGTACAGAACTGACTGTACTAATATTTTGCATATTTAAAGCATTCACTATGTAAAGATTGCAAAAAGCAGATAACATTCTGATATTCCATCAAGAGGTAATTATCTGCATTTTCCAAAGTCACTATTTTTAATTTAGGAAAGTCACGAAACAATAATAATGAAATCAGCTCATGCTGTAGGGCCCTAGGTGAAAAATGCTAGCTTTCACGATTGAGATAGCTCATTTAACCTCTACAGAATTGTGTCTTTTTTTCAGTTAACTCCAGTATTACTATGTATTCCTGTATACAGAAGACCAGTAACTATTATATGTTTGTAATTTTTAATCAGCGTGCAACAGTGGAAAAGGAACATCTATCAAATGTAAAACTTAACATTTGCTACCTTAGCAAAGATAGTATTCTGAAATACAAATAAGAGAGAGGCATTAATGCATTATTTAGTTGACACAAATGGTTCATCTATTTTTTTTAACTGCCTTATATTTAATAGTAATTATGGCATTGAAAAAAAATAATAATATTAATAATACTAATAATGTAAGATGATAACACTAATTTTGCCAGATGAATTCCCTAAGAATTATTTACATAATGTTTTGTAAAATTATTTTGATCTCACTTTTACTGTGCCAAGCTTCAAGGTTGTCCAGACCTTCTACTAGCAATCCAGCATTGATATACACTGATAATGACTCCTAGGTTTGGACTTCTTTTTTTTTTTTTTTTTAGGGTATTAGTGAAAGCATTAAATGTATTTGTTTCCCAGCTGGTCACTGGAGAACTTAATTAATAACTTCTCAAAGGGATATCTTCCCATTTAAATGAACCCATATCACCTCCCTTTTAGCCAGCTGTTTCTTACTTTTTTTATCTACTAATTTCCAGTATTTTAGTTACTGAACAGCTTCTTATCTGTCATCATAACAAGTGCTTTACAGGAAATTATGCAAGTACTTATTCCCTCATTTCTTCTCTTCAGTTATCTGAAATCTATGTTCTAGATTTACATTTGTTTGTCCTTCAGTAAAAATGAGATCAAATTAAGATCAGGTTATTTTTCCACATATTTTCTGACATAAATTTATTTCTGATATGTTTCTAAAACATCTTAAGAATTACTGAAATCAAATGCAAACGTCACTCCAAACAAACTGGACAGTTATCCAACATCTTTTTTGGGGTGTATGTTTTATTTTGCAGTACATTGCATCTTCGATCCACATCCCTACTACATACATCATTGTTACCTTTGTTTTAAAGTGTCAAGTATTTGTCCATCCAGGATCAGAGCGTCCCAATGGTTAGGAAATCTAGTAAGGGTGCTAGGAGACCTGCATAGTTAAAGAAGGAACTACTGGGCAAACTTAAGTGGAAAAGGAAAATCTACAGATCATGGAAGGAGGGGCTGGTCACGTGGGAGGAATATAGGACTGTTGTCAGAGGATGTAGGGAGGCAATTAGGAAAGCTAAGGCCTCCTTGGAACTTAACCTTGCAAGTCAGGTTAAGGATAATAGAAAGGGCTTTTTCAAATACATAGCTAGCAAAACTAGCAGTAGAGGCAATATTGGCCCATTGAGGAATGAGGTGGGAGCCCTGGTGACAGAGGATATAAAGAAGGCAGAGGTGCTGAATGCCTTCTTTGCCTCTGTCTTCACTCCTGCAGGGTCTCCCTATGAGCCCCAGATTCATATAGCCCCAGAAGAAGTCAAGATAGAGGAAGAGTTTGACATGGTAGATGAGGATTGGGTTAGGGATCAGTTGAGTAATCTGGACATCCATAAATCAATGGGTCCAGATGGAATGCACCCAAGGGTGCTGAGGGAGCTGGCGGAGGTCATTGCTAGGCCACTCTCCATCATCTTCAGTAAGTCATGGGCAACAGGTGAGGTGCCTGAGGACTGGAGGATAGCAAATGTCACTCCAGTCTACAAGAAGGGCAAGAAGGAGGACCCGGGTAACTATAGACCGGTCAGCCTCACCTCCATCCCTGGAAAGGTGATGGAACAACTTGTTCTTGTCACTATCTCCAGGCACATCAAGGACATGGGGGTCATCAAGAGCAGTCAACATGGTTTTATCAAGGGTAAATCATGTTTGACTAACCTCATAGCCTTCTATGAGGAAATTACTAGGTGGATAGATGATGGTAGAGCGGTAGATGTGGTTTATCTTGATTTCAGTAAAGCATTTGACACCGTCTCCCACAGCATCCTTGTAGAAAAGTTGATCAGGTATGGGTTTGGTGACCAGGAAGTGAGGTGGATTAGGAACTGGTTGAAAGGAAGGAGTCAGAGAGTTGTAGTCAATGGGGCAGAATCTGGTTGGAGGTGTGTGACTAGTGGAGTCCCACAGGGGTCGGTACTGGGACCGGTGTTGTTCAACATCTTCATCAACGACCTGGATGAGGGTATAGAATGTACCCTCAGCAAGTTTGCTGATGACACTAAGCTGGGAGGAGTGGCTGACACACCAGAAGGCTGTGCTGCCATTCAGAGAGACTTAGATAGGTTGGAGAGTTGGGCGGGGAGAAACATGATGAAATTCAACAAGGGGAAGTGCAGAGTTTTACATTTGGGGAAGAACAACACCATGTCCCAGTACAGGTTGGGGGCTGAACTGCTGGAGAGTAGTGTAGGTGAAAGAGACCTGGGGGTCCTGGTAGACAGGAGGATGACCATGAGGCAGCAATGTGCCCTTGTGGCCAAGAAGGCCAATGGCATCCTGGGGTGCATTAGAAAGGGTGTGGTTAGTAGGTCAAGAGAGGTTCTCCTCCCCCTCTATTCTGCATTGGTGAGGCCACATCTGGAGTATTGTGTCCAGTTCTGGGCCCCTCAGTTCAAGAAGGACAGGGAACTGCTTGAAAGAGTCCAGCGCAGAGCTACGAAGATGATTAAGGGAGTGGAACATCTCCCTTATGAGGAAAGGCTGAGGGAGCTGGGTCTCTTTAGCTTGGAGAAAAGGAGACTGAGGGGTGACCTCATCAATGTTTACAAATATGTAAGGGGTGAGTGTCAGGGGGACGGAGTTAGGCTTTTCTCGGTGATGACCAGTGATAGGACAAGGGGTAATGGGTGCAAATTGGAGCATAGGAAGTTCAAGGTGAATATCCGAAAAAATTTTTTTACTGTGAGAGTGACAGAGCCCTGGAACAGACTGCCCAGGGAGGTTGTGGAGTCTCCTTCACTGGAGACATTCAAAACCCACCTGGATGAGTTCCTGTGTGATGTACTCTAGGTGACCCTGCTCTGGCAGGGGGGTTGGACCAGATGATCTCTCGAGGTCCCTTCCAGCCCCTAAGATTCTATGATTCTATGATCTCTATCACGTCCCACAGACAGGAATTTTTGGCAGATATAGACAACACATTCAAAGAGCTTTCCCTAAATACCTCAAAACCTAAAGTACATAAAGACATACACAGTGAGTGTATTCACTTATAAAGCTTTTAGGTCCACATGCAGCTCAGGAAATTTTTTAAAATTTATTGACCAATAAAAGTGAAAGGGGGTAAGCATAAATGACTCTGAGGAAGGTATTACAATACTGCAAACAGTGATCAATTAACAGAGAGTGCAAATGTTTCAGTTTTCTTAGTTTGACCATTATTTAGCAATTAAACTGTGAAAGGCAGGGAAAAGTAGTTTTCAAACCTGGCATTTTGCAAAAAACTATTGCAA